GTACAGGAGAGGGCTCAGTACACACCCCTGTGGAGCACCAGTGTTCAGTGTGATGGGGGATGAGGTGATGCTGCCCAGTCTGACCACCTGGCGTCTGTCAGACAGGAAGCTAAGGATCCAGCTGCAGAGGGAGCTGCTCAGTCCTAGATCCTGCAGTTTCCTGTCCAGCTTCGAGGGAACGATGGAATTGAATGCTGAGTTGTAATCTACAAACAGCATCCTCACATACGTGTCTCTCTTCTCCAGGTGTGACAGGGCAGTGTGTAGTGTCAGGGCTATGGCATCATCAGTGGACCTGTTGTGGCGGTATGCAAACTGTAGAGGGTCCAGTGAGTCGGGTAGTGCAGAGCAGATGAAGTCCCTGACCAGCTTCTCGAAGCATTTGCTTACGATGGGGGTCAGGGCTACAGGTCGCCAGTCGTTCAATGAGGAGATGGTGGAGGATTTGGGTACAGGGACGACGGTGGCCATTTTGAAGCAGGCTGGGGCTACAGACAGAGAGAGGGAAAGGTTGAAGATGTGCGTGAACACTCCAGCCAGCTGAGCCGCGCATGACCTGAGGACGCGGCCGGGAATCCCGTCCGGACCAGTAGCTTTGCGTGCGTTCACCTTCCTGAAGCACTTCCGCACATCCTCCTCAGACACAGTGTGCGCACTGACGTCATCCGCGGTGCGGTCCGGTCTCATGGTGTTCGCTGTGTCGAATCTAGCGTAGAATACGTTTAGATCCTCACACAGAGAGGCCGTGGTCTGCGGTGTGCTGGTTTTCCCTCTAAAGTCTGTGATCGTGTTTAGTCCCTGCCACATACTCTGAGGGTTGTCAAACTGTTGCTCCACCCTGTCCCTGTACTCACGTTTGGCTGCTTTGATCGTCTTCCGGAGTTGGTAATGTGCGTGTTTGTAGTCCGATGTGTTCGCGGAGGCAAAGGCGGTGTTCCGTGGTGGATAAAGGAGGTGGATAAATGGGTGTTTAGGTGTGTGTTTAACCTCCCATGTGACTGAAGTGGCAGAGAGCCAGAACAAGTGTTGGCTGCTGCAGAAGACAGGAGACAGCTACAAAAGCAACCTCGGTAGCCTGCCGAGATCCAGCAGCTAATGTGTTTCTCCATGTTTTCTTCAGATAACCAAAGCAGGGAGGGCCACATCCCTCGTCCCAGTAGACCTGCATTTTCCCAGTGGCTAGACATTACAGAGTAGACAGAGATAGATATATAACCAATCATTTTGATACCAAGCGGCACACATAAACACGCTGACCGGTGAGATTCTTTCCCTGGTCAGCCTTTTACTCTGCTGCTATCTACTTCCCTGGAGACCTAAATCAATTTCTACCAAGACCCCAATGCCAGGTGCTGTGGGAATCTGAGAGTGTTTAGGCTTGTGCTCAGCTAATTTTGGCACCAAGAGGCCTCCTTAATCAATAATCTACCCTGTGCAGGAGCTGAGGAGATTGCTTCGGTATTTCTTTCAGCTGCTCTCTCACTGCCAAGGAGGACACAAAGCTTTCCGCTTGTCCCGGTTCCATCTGAAGGGTTACTTCTTTGTGATTTTCAGGATTAAGCTGTCATTCAATCACAGTGCCGCAGTAGACGTTTCGGTTAGAAAAAGTGATCATTGTCTTACCGCACAACATTTAGAAGAGACGGTCATTGTCTTCCAGCAGAAATCAGTAATAACACCAGAGATTATGCAGATTTTCAGAGCTGTTCGACAGAAAATTTCCACAAGCTATTCATGCAGTTGTAAAGACGCACAGAGGGGAGGCAGGGCTGAGCGTGAAAAACAGGGCATCACGCTCTGCACTCCTGTCTTCTCAGATCATCTGTGAAGCAAATGGCCTGTCACCACACTAGCTGCATCAGTGTGAGCATATTTAACTGTCTCTGCTGTCAACAGACTGTAAAATGGAAAGTGCTGATAACGTTGGGATACTAACAGGTATAAAGAGACGGCCGCGGGGATGCTAGACGCTTATCTGCTCCCCACAAGCCTCCGGTCGGAAAGCCCGGGACGCTTGGTGCTGTAATGTGATTTGAGCAACACTCGTGTTTGATTGCCTCATCAGATTTGTTGGCTTTGAAACTAATGAGCAGCACACGCCAAGCATGCAACGCTGATGGTTGTTGGAAACGTGATGATGATCGGAGTTGGGGTATGTAAGCTGGAGCCGGCGTTTTGGAAGCATGGATATCAAGAGGGAACTTTGTTATCATGTACCTTCTTGTGTTTGTGAGCCATTAAAATAGATTTTTATCTAAGCTCTATGCTCTTTTTATAATCCGCATATTTCCCTAGCAAAAATCCAGTCATACCTGAAGCCATCCCCTCACAGTTACTCCTGCCTGTTGTGAGCTGAGCCATTGCAGGCCTCTGATGCAGGCTGCTGTGCACCTGAATGATAAAAGCTTTGCTCAAGGGCATCTTACAGACAGTAGCAGAGAGGGGGGGAAAGGGAATTCTGACTGTCTGCTTTCTACTCCCTCTTTCTGAGGGGTCATACTGCCGTTTTTCTATTATGATATGATATAACAGTGTCTGCCATTTCTATTCTTCCTCTATCTTTTGTTTCCTAACTGGACAAGCCTCTGTCTGTATCCTCTCTTGTTCCAGTCTCTGCCTGATTGATGGGCCAAGTAATGGCCCTCCACACTGACACTTTTATTTGCAGAATTTACAGGCAAGCAGCACCTGCTGCGGGCAGATGGTTCTATCATCTCCTACAGTAGCCAGATGAGTTCATGTTTCACAAGGTACATATGGGCGCCATTTTAATCAGAATTCAGGTTAGCTTTTCAGCAGGCCTACTGCTTGCACCCATGTTTAAGAATCTATCCGTGTTTGCAATCGTAGGAGTGCTGTGCATAAACACAGGAACAAGAGTGGAATTTATGGACTGCATATGTCCCTGTTCCTGTACAGAGTTATTAGCTATGTAAATCCAAGATTATGACATAATCATGTAATTTCAGCCCGTCTGTTCGCTAAACTAGTTCCAGCAACGACAGTAGATGGTCCTCAGCTCTGCAGAGCAAACCAAACAGTACCAAGAAAGTACTCACATGTAATATCTAATGAAATAAAGGGTATTCAATTGGGATTTTGACCCCCTGCGTCATTTTTACTATATGAAACCTAACACTTGTTCTTTAATGATTTCAAAAAGTAATGTTCATTTTTCCTCATGTTTGCTCATTGCATCATGTTTTTTCACAAGTTTTCTTGTGCTATATTTGTGGATGTTTCACTACATCCAAACAGGATGAAACCGTCGGAGATTCTGTGGAAAAAAAAGGTGTGCTTATTTTAGCATAAAAATGGCAACCAAGACAAGTCATGGGCACTTTCAGTTTGCCAGGTTGTGTTGAAAACCGAGTGTGGACTATAGGAAGACAAAGAGCTTTGGGTTTTGGTGGCATGGATGGAGCCACAGAATCACTGTGATACTTTGGTTAAATCAGTATTTCTGGATACAGTTCAAAAACCAAATCATCTGTCAACTAAATTCAATTTTACTTATGCAGAATGAAATCACATTAGTAGTTGCCTCAAGGCACTTTATATCGTAAGGTAAAGATGCTACAACAATACAAAGAAAACCCCAACAATCAAACTGCCCTCTATTAGTTAGCACTTGGCGACAGTGGGAAGGAAAAAATGCCTTTTAACAGGAAGAAACCTATGGCAGAGCCAGGCTCAGGGAGGGGCCATACATCTCCTGTGACCAGTTGGGGGGTGACGACAGTTACTTAGTTACGCTAACCTGCCATCACAATCAGACCTGTTCACATTTAGATGATGAAAACCAATAGAAATACCAACAGAAATATTTCTGTTGGCTTATTTGATGAGAGAGAAGCGTCTTATTATATTTTGTCTCCAGATGCACACCGTTCTAATGATGAGGACTTTGAAGATCCATCTTCTAATAGCTCATCTCTCCCCTAGTTATTCATTTACCCAGGGTTAAATAACCAAGAATGAGTTTTGGATCTGCCAAACGAAGCAGTTGAGTTGCTTCAGTCTAGGCTCAGTGAGGAAAACCTCTTCCTAGCAACCAGATTTTCTTTTTGTAGGCATCATGTGAAAAGTCTTTGAAATGGTTGATGCCTTTGACTATTGTTTTGATGCTGAATGTCTTTTGGGTACAATGGGCTGTTCATTGACAGGTCAAAAGCAAGCTTAAGATGTGCCCTACAGCATAATGGCAATTACTTTGCACCCATACTAATTGATCATTTTGTCCAGTTAAAAGAAACCTACAAAAATATGAAAATTGTACTGGAGAGGCTGAATCACATTTTATGAATCAGCTGAAAATACGTACAATAATTGGACCACTTTGTTGTTTTGATGCTTTGATATTTTTGAACTCTGATAATAATGACTAGTTTCCAGAAAACATTTTTAAGCAGATCTGAAGCAGCTTGCAGCCTTCATGTTTTCAATTAAAATAATTAGTTGATTTTTATTTCAACATAACTGTAAAATTCAAGTTAACTTTAATGTTAGTTGCTGTGGAGCTACCTGGACTACTCCATTTTCGGTTTGTGGATGCTTCAGTTGTAAAAGTTTCACTCTGTAAAAGCTTGTTTTTACAGAGTGGGTGGGGACACAGTTGTGAGCAAACTTAGTTATCTGCTACAGGTCTTCCGGTATAGCCATGCCAAGTAAATGGTACTCAAAGGCAATCTGGTATATTTTCACAAGCAATCTTGAGGCTTTAAACTGCTGAAACTGTTGCAGCTTCTTCTCATTGGATTCATTTTGAAATACATAAAGCTGCTGAAGGTCAAGAAGGTGCAAAGTATGCACTTAAAACTGCCCTCTTTATAGATCTCATGTGTGAATGTGAGTAATCATGAAAACTGCTCTTTCTCAACGAATGAATGTAAACATTATGCTGTGTTGTGACATAATCTTTACTTTGCCGGTCTAACGGAGTAAAATACACTCCTTGTAATCAGTTTATTTGATATATCTCCTTCTCTCTCTGCTCCTAGCTATCGGCGAGCCGGTCAAGTTGGAGTGGTATAACCCCCAGGGCGAGCGCATCGTGGCCTCTAAGCGAATGGCGCTCCACACAGAAGCATCCAGATCCAAGCTCGTTATTTATAATGCCATCATCGAAGATGCGGGTATCTACCGCTGCCAGGCCACCGATGTCAGTGGTCACACTGAGGAGGCCTCCGTTGTGCTGGAGATCTACCGTAAGCTTGATAACACACACACTAGCTGACACATTTACCCACAGATGCTCTGTGTTTGCTTCCTAAGGAGATTGGAACATAAGGACACGAAGAGAATAAACATCTCACATTAGCTTTTGATCACCAGGACAACCAGCTGATTCATATTCTCTCTACCCTCTCCACAGCCACAAGCTGCGTTAGCTCTCTGTGTGTGCACATGCATCTTAGAAACCTAAGATTTCTAAGATGCATGTACCTTTGACTTTGTGTGTGACTGTGTGAGTTAGACTGATTCTTGTGATTAAATTATAATGACGGCTAGCAATGCCACAGGATTTAGATCCTGTCAGGAATAATGAGAGATCGGGCACTGACTTACCTGCCTTGCTGACCAATCACTATTTCCTGGGAAAAAACTTAATGTTTTGCCCAGGAAATAGTGTTGGTGTTTATAGACCTTTTTTTTTTTTTTTTTACTGATTCCATTCTAGCAGTAATCAGTGAATTTGCATCTTTAAATTGTTGTTCAGCAAGACATCCGACTGAAACCCCACTAGCTTATTGCTGTGATTTAATTTAGAAATAAAACAAGAAAAACATGTTGGTTTCACTAAGATCATCTCCTGGAGCAGGGAGCTTTGTGCAACTTAGGGAAAATTACAATGTAGATCTAAAAAACACAAACACATGTTTTATGCGGATTTAAGTGGAAAGGAATTCAAGCTAACAAAGCCTGACAGGCATAAAATAGCATTTTTACACCAATAAAGTGATTCCCAGAACTATTAGCTGGAAACTTGGCATATGTGCGGTGTGTACTTAAACAGTTTGGGGACATTGGACAAGTGGAGGACAAAAGAAGTGTCAAGCCTAAAAACAACTATCTACAGCAGATGAACTGTGTCTAAAAGTCATGTCCTTAAGAAAAGGACATAAATAAGAAAAGACCAGCAAAAACCCAACACAGGACCTGAGAGATGCATCTAGCCCTTCAGCTGATCCATCCACTGTTCACTGAAACATCAGGAGAAAGTATTTCAGTGGAAGGGTGGCTGTCAAGGAAGGGAAACTGGGAGAAAAGGCTGATTATCAGTGGCAACAAGTCTGATGGCGCGATGAATCCAAACTGGATATTTTTGATTCAGAAATCATCAGTTTATAGAGAAGAATTCAAGTGACAGGTACAACAGTGAGGAGGCTCTGTCATGGTTTGAGGCTGCGTTTCAACCACCGGTGTTGGAGATCTTGCCAAAATTGATGAATTATAAAGACAGAACTGTATCATCAAATTTTGATCAATCATGCAGTGCCATCTGGAAAGTGTTTCATTAGCATTAGTTTTGTTTTTTTTGTTTTTTAGCAGGAAAATGATCCCAAATGCACTACCAGTGTAATAAAAGCACACCTGGATAGAAAAAACACAGTGGTACACTATCAGTCGTGGATCGGCCTCCCCAGAGGGCCCGGTGGCGCCAGTGTCCGGCAGCTTCGCCTCTGTCAGTGCGCCCCAGGGTGGCTGTGGCTACAATGTAGCTGCCATCACCTGTGTGTGAATGGGTGGATGACTGGATGTGTAAAGCGCTTTGGGGTCCTTAGGGAGTAAGTAAAAGCGCTATACAAATACAGGCCATATACTGTATCTATGGCTGTATCTGTGTAGAATTAGTATTAGCCTGCTATTCAAGAGAATTTGGTGTCAAATCAAGGTGTGAAGTCATTTAGTGGAACACTTTAAAGTGGGTTATAGAAATCCAAGTTTTTTTATTAGTCTATTGACAAAATGCTTGCGAGAGCAGGGTTCATATTAAAAAAAAAAGATCATAGGTAGAACTCTCTCTGTTCGCAGGTGAGAGGACAAAGATTCCAAAAGCTACAAGCACAAAAGATAACATAAGAGCCAAGTGACCTCTGAGGTGTGAGTCTTTGATCAGGAGTCTACACAAAGTTTAATTGGAGAAAACGTACATGGATTTGATTCCAGAGCTCACTCACACACACACAGTTATATGTACACACACTCTGGAAATCATCACCTGCTGTGTGGCTGCCTTTTCATCCTCTCCCAGCGAACCATTAGGGGAGACATCACAGCTTCAATCACACCTGCCACCACTCAGCCTTTGCCTCATTCAACACATAACCAATTCCCCAAAATCATTGTTTCCATGGTAACCAGGCATCACTCACTGGGGTCCTCAGTGTAGATTCCATGAGCAGCAGGCGGATGAAAACCACCCTAAAATCCAGCCAGGTGTTCTGCCAGCGCACAGTCGGAACAGGCGAGGACTCCTCTGCACGGTGCACAGACCTGCGTGCTGCAACATGTTCTACATGAAATTCATGACCTGTGGGAGACCAAGTGTTGACATCTTCTCCGCAGTTGCTGACTTCTCTATGATGGCCAGATGTAATCATGCAGCACGGATTGTCAGATCAGTTTGGAATTAAAAGCTGGTCCACAGTCTGATGAACAAAGCAGTAGCTAGCAATGAGTTAGTGGCCAATCTTGTGCTAACTCACATTAAATTTAGTACACACATGTAGATGGCAACTAATTAATTCAGGGATCCTCTGATTCAGTTTTTTCCACCAAAGCCACAGTGAGGTTAGTATTTCTAATTTTAATTAGAACTGTAAAATCTAAAAGCAAATCTTGCCATGAAATTTTGACATTTGAGTCCTAAACAACAAGAAAAGTTAAGTAACCAATTTGCTTTTTATCTATAGTCATTTCAAAATTTGTGCTTCTTATGCACCATGGTTTATGGCCAATTAGCTACAGAAAGTGATACTTGGGAAATTTTAGCAAGATAACATATTTAACACTGATGCTCTCCATAAGAACATTATCTGGTTAGCATGTACATTTGTCAACGTGAGAATGTAGCATGCTAGGATTGCCATTTAAGCAAAAACATTGCTGTTCTGTGTGCTGTGCCTGCTAGCTTGATTTCTGTTAGTACTCCAGTGTAATGCAGTATGGTTGCTACTATATTAGCACTACTGTTTGAGCCACTCCTTTTTTTTTCATTTTCTGAACAAGTAGCTAGTCATATTTGTGGAGGTTTTTCAAAGTTGTCTTTAGTGACTGCCAATAAGCTACCGTATTCTTAAGGGAGAGAAATAGGGTAAATTACAAAGAAACAGACTGAAAATGAGTTGCAACAGGTCTTATGGACTGATGAATCCAATCGTGGTGTTGGAGATCTTGTGAAACTGATGGAATTACAACCACAGAAATGTACCATCACATTTTGATCCAACATGCAATACCATCTGGAAAGTTTCTGGTTGGCAAAAATAATCCCAAACACACTGGGAATTCAGTAAAATCAAAGCTGCATAGAACAACACACAAAGGAACACTATCAGTGATTGACTGGCCTCCCCAGAGCTCGGACCTCAACATTATTAAAGCAGCATGGAATCATGTTGGCAGATGAACAGTTAAACTTTGAATGTCATTCAAGAAGCCTGGAGAACTCAGTCAGCTGTCACATTTCGTGAATGTATGCAACTTCTTTAACAGTAAATTCTTCTGCTAATGAAGAATGACGACATGCAAGGTCACATGTAACACATGTTATCTAGCTGTTAGCTAGGTAGCATAGTAATTGTCATTCTCATGTCCTTTGACATGAGAATGAAAATAACTGAAAATAGTTAGTAATCCCTCCTCTGTTGCCAACTAAAATGGAATCCATTAAGGCCTATAATAGTGTTCCACCCTCCACGCCATCAGGGTATTTATATTGTACTGCAAGCAGTTTACCTGTACTTGTTAGCATAACCAGACTTATGCAGTCAAAATAGTATAAGTAATGTAAGCATCAAAGTGATTCTTATTTCAAGATAAACCCTTTACTGTCACAAAATCATGAAAACCTATTTTGGTGACAAAAGCCGCAACATCAATTAGCTGGTGTAATATGGTGCTGTTTTCAACTGTATTCAGTGACAGAAAATTCATAGTCATTATAGAGTGAGCCAGTACAATGTCTAAGCCTTTCATTTCCTGTTAGTTTATTAATGGACAACGCAATAATGCTGCACAAGCTCATTTTCCAAAACCAGCTAATTTGGCCAGAACACACAGAAACAAATCTGTCTCACATTTGAGGCAGGTCCAGGGAAATTGGCTCGTCAGCTTATCAGACAGTTATCTTTGCAGTGATGTGTCTACGAACGACAGCAAAGAAACTCCAGAGTACTGAGTACATTCTCAATTCGCCAGTGTCAAGTGTGCAGTAGAGTGTTACTCCAGAGAGGATGTTTCTCTTACTGATTCTCTTGTAGAGCAGCACGACTACAAAAGAGACAGGAAATGGATACAAACAGAAGGAACAAGTGACACCAGAATGTTCAAACCTGAGAGGGAGGCAGAGGGGGAGAAAGCAGATTTTGCAAATAAAAAGAACACATATGGAGGGGAGGGTGGATGATAAGAAGCCAACGGAGTGAATGACAAAATCACGCAAAGGCATCCTTGAAGTTAATGAAGACACTGAGATGCCAGACACGTTCACAGGCGGAGGATGCAGCCGGGGAGTGAAAGCTCATTTTGGGGAGCAGCCTGGCATAAATCACAGAGCAAAATGCTAATGCTGAAGCCTCACTAAGGGAAGGGACTGATAGAGGAGCTGTAGCTGATTTATTCACACCCTCACAATATAGCACGCAGGTGATAGCAGGTGGTTGCGGCGCTAGCAGAGCCAGCCCGAACACACATCAAAAGCCAAGGAAAGTGGGGTTCGACGAGAGCTCGCGTGAGATCTTTGTGGGGAAATGCTGGTCCAAGAACGGCGTCCTCGTAAAACACCCAATGTTTGCCAGGAAGAGGACACAGCTTTAAACAAGCACCAAGGGGAACCTATTAAAGAATGCTGAAACCAAGATGGAGTGAATCAAAGCCTGCCTGTGCTTTTGTCAAATTTTGCAAACAGTAAGGCTGCAGAATAACTCTGCTCATTGATTCTTTTATAACTGGCAGCAAGTTAAAGCGAGTTACTTTTTGCTGT